TATAAAGGAGCTTCATTTTTGATGTAATTTATAAAATGTTAGAAAAATACAGTATAACTACTATTTTTCTGCATTGTAGCTCATTATACCTGATACTTTGTTTTGCATACAATAAAATGTCGCTCATATGAACATATAATAACATATACAAGTATATGCTGTAATATATGCAAAGCTAAACTCCAAGAATTCGACCCACAAAACGTCTTATTTGGCCTAGTAAATTTTAAATTATGAAGAGGACATTAGAAAATATGTTTTAGGTTATTATTAACCTAGAACATCGATAGATTTCACATGTGCAACAATTTCATCAAAACCAGATATTACGCAGCACTTTAAAGGGGCATTGTTTTTAAAAATGAATTCTTTTCATTCAGTCGTTCTATTATCACAGACCGTAAATACTTATGGAAATAGCATAGCACAACCTACTCTATACTGTATAGAGTTTAGTCCCATCGATGGACAGTCACGTGGTGAATGCATAGTAGGTGGACAGAATGTAGGTCAATAAAAAAATTCAATATTGCAAGGGCATACCCTAGTTGAAATTAAAAATTCATGCTATTACTTGTTTCTAAATATTTTGTACTTCCTGGAAATTACTGCTGCTTTGAATAGAATCTGTGTTTTAATAGTTAAAATTTCACGTAAAGAGGCCAATGTCGAAATATGTTTGAATTTTACCAAATATTTTGTGCACTTACAAAGTCATGCTCTCGATTTAAAGAAAGCAGGCGAACTTTTCAAGTTAAGGAACATATCCTCAATGTATACTCAAAAAATGGTCTTGATTTATTTAGTGTATGCCCCTGCAAAAGAGCATTTTAATGAGGCACCTCGATGTAAAAAATACCTAACCTGAACATAAAACACGACGGAATTATCTAAATACATTCTCTCGATGGTGAATGAATAATTGCACTTAACAAATGATACACATTGTAATTATTAGCCTACTTAAAACCTGTAAATAATATTCTGCTTTATACCGTATATCAGGATTTTTCCGCGTGTATCCAATTTCCGCTTTGTTCTCGACGAGTTCTGAATCGCGGAAAATAAAACAGCGTAAATTTAATACAAAGTTTTCTTCTTGTAGTAGGATTATTTCTTGATGCTTATATCGTAGAGGTTAGAAATAGCGGGATCAGAGGACAAGCGCAGGATACCGGTAATAGGTATAAGCCCGTATTGTTTGTTTACTAATTGACAAGCCAGCTAATTATATGTGTCACCGGTTTCTTGCGAGAAGCTATCAAAACTAATTATACCTGAGCTGCTGGTCAGTTTGGAACAGTAAATGAATTATAATTGTTTAAATCTTAAAAATAATATCTGTGCACAGTGGATTTGAGAGTTAATATGCAACGCAGGTGTGTAATCAGCCGAGCGGGTCTTCCGGAATTGACGAGTTGAAGGTCGATATATCTATTTCTCACCGGTATGTCCAGCTTAATGACTTTACATTTTACATCTAGTCATCCAATTCCTTCATAGGCTTAAACAATTGTTAATGATAAAATCACTGGGACTTTGAAATAGTGAAAATTTGATTCGCGTAAATTTAATATACTGATTTAGGTTCTGATTCGCGGAAAAAACATGACGCGGAAAAAACCTGATATACGGTAATAGAACGCATTTTTCCATTTTAAAAATTTCCCAAATCTGCCTCTCACAGCACATGAAATACGTCATTTTTACCAAAATGACGTCATGATTGAAAAGTTCATCGAGATCAGTGATTTGTTTAAAACCAGCTGTATGGGATTTAACTAGCTATAGCAACATTTGTTAATGCATTGGTAAGTTTTATTGCTGTTTATTATGCTAACACAGTTTAAAGTTGAAAAAAATATTTCATTTTCGGGTAATAATTAATTAATTGTATATTGTTTAACGTCCCTCTCGAGAATTTTTCACTCATTTGGAGACGTCACCGAATGCCAGTGAAGGGCTTCAAATTTTGACATTTACTCGGTACTCAGGTCCATTGAACAGTGAGGGATCTTTATCGTACCAACGCCTGCCGCTGACACGGGGACTCGGTTTTTAAGGTCTCATCCGAAGGACCCACAACTTTCACTTCAAAGTGCCGATAGCATGGCGAAGGAACAGTTGCTACCCATTTTAACGACTAGGTCAGTCGCGGCCAAGATACGAACTCACGACCTCCCGATTACGGAGCGAGCGCTTTACCGACTGAGCTACCGTGAACGGTTTCGGGTAATATGAGGAATGCATAAAAGTCATATTTTTTGGTGTGACGTCACAGTTAACTTTTCCCGTATAAATTAGGCCCCGCCCCCTTTTTCTAGCTTTAACAGTGCTGCGTATGATGTCATACTAAATCCTAAACCGCAGCATGGTTCGAGGTTTTTCGGAAAATGCTCAAATTTTACAAAATTAATCGTGGTTTTCACATAGAGCACAGCCGTTACTGCAAAATATTGAAACAGAAAAATAATTATAACTGTTTGATAAGCACGAGGGTTGTTCTAAAAGTTCGTGGACAATGACGTTTTTGTTAAAATAAATGGTTCTATATGCATTAATTGTATATCAAAATATTTCTCATGAAAAAACAAGTCCGAATGATTTAGTTTTTATTGACAAGAAGAACACCAACATCTTTAAAAATTGATAATTAGTTATGGGGAATTGGCTTTTTTTAAAAGATAGGATCAAATTTAAATATACAAAGTGTTACTTTGAAGGATCTATGTGGTATAAAAACCTTTGCAACCATTTCCAACCTAATTGAAATATCATATTTTGTTCTTGGTATATGTTTCAAGGCTCTTTTTTCTATTATTTGGTCACAACAGCTCCTATATAAAATTTCAAGTCATTACAGGGAATTGCTTTTAAAGAAATGCTACTTTATTATTATTTTTCAGGAACGATGTGTCATTCAGTGACATACACTTACTTCCATAACCGTGTTTTGCTTCAGGTATTTCGCTTCTGACGAAATTGAATTCACCGCGCAACTCGAACTGCCGGAAATTGGTCTGAATGTCGTTATAATTAAGAATTCAATACGACAGAGAATTAATAGTTTCTACAAATAATTATTATCATCATCCATAGAAAGTAACATAATAACGATTTTTTATGCCAGAAAACAAACATATACTAAGCATTTTACATTTCGCGGATGTGAACCGGATTACGATAATGTAAACAAAAAGCAGACGAGAAGTCAAGGTCTGCGCGGTAACTTTGGTTGAGATGGTGAAACCAAAGTACAGACGCCATGGGTTCGTCTCGAAAAAACAGAAGGAGAGATATGATAAAGTATCTGCAGGGCAATTGACTCGATGGATTAGGGGAGCTATCCTTACAGACCACAATTACTCCGCCAGTGCAACCCCTGTCAGCGTTGATCACGATCACGGTTTGTACATATAAAATACGTAATCTAAAAGACTCGTTTTCATATCTGCATCTAAATTACCATGATTACACATAGGTCTATTAGAAATATTAAAGGAAGGTACATGAATTTGTTGATGTTCATTTTATATACCAGGTCCAATCTAAAGACTTTTTGAACTATGACTTCGTGTAGCTATTTAAACATGTTAAAAAAAATTATAATAGTTAAAGATGTGCACCAAAAGAGAAGATATTGAATTTTTCTCAATATTTCATTGAAAAACAACATGACATAACTAAGACATTGAAAACTTGTTTTTATCAAGTATATAATTGAATTTTCAACGATATATTTCAATGATAAAAACAAGTTTTCATCTGATTGACAACAAAGTTTTAAAAATATAATTTTTTTTTTTGGGGGGGGGGGGGTATTTTATTGAAAACCACGTGGCCTATTGTAATCAAAGTGCAACATGGAAATTTGAATCATATTTGATGATAATAAATTTAACTATACATGATGTCATATGTGGATTTCAATAATATATATATATATATACTAAGCCTAGCTGTTACAAAAAAAAATTACATTTGCTGATGTCTTACCTTACATGACAATACTAATCAAAGATAATTACTGTATTTTATTTTAATACACTGCACGTGATGAAAGATATACTCATTTGACCCACAGGCCTTTAGATCACTTGAAAAAAAATTGAGGTTTTAAAAAAAAAATAAAGGTATGGAACTCTTTTCATAGGGTACCTTCTTTCCCCAATAAAATTCTTTTAAATTGAATGCTTTACAAATTTACTGTTTATCCATATCTATCCATATATAAACCACAGGCACCAAACTCGCTTGAATTTTTGACCCCCTAGTATATAATAAATATTATATACTAGGGGGTCAAAAATTCAAGCGAGTTTGGTGCCTGTGATATAAACAAATGTTCATTCCTTCAAATTTCATTCCGTAATTCTTTATACTTATTAAGATATTATGAAATCAATTCCGAAATTGACCTAAATTTTTTTACCGTAATTGACATCAGCTTGCAAATGGGCCCAACACTAATTGTTTAGCGGGAACGACAGGACAAATTTTCTCCAAAGTCTGTTCTATGTTCAATGAATATTTGCTCATTTGAATTTTAGATTTACATGATTTTTCTTTAATTGGATCATATGATCTTACTAAGTCACAAACAAAATGTTAGCGGTCTAGGCCTAATTGTTTTGAAAATAGAAAGGTATATAATCTGACATGATAATGCATTACGGGAAAAAATTGTTCAACCATATAGCTTCTTTTACATTCATAATCAAAATGGTGGTGTAGTTGTTGATCCAGATTTTAACTTATTATTATTAATACAGACTACTTAACCTTACAATCTGGAGTAAGAAATCAACTTTAAAATGTTGAAAGATCTTGCAAATGCTATGCAACTCTTCGCTGCACCTCATACACCGTCTGTTTACATGTGAATGACCAGGTTCCAAGCAAATGTCGAGTAAAAGAATTTAGTAGATCATATTTTAGATTGATTTCAGAATATCTTGAGAAATATCGGTATATGGAAAAATATGTTGTATATCGGCACAATGAATTATTTTGAAAACTGGTTCTTGGAATTTAGTAAGTCATAGTGTATCTAAACAGTCAACTAGTCAGGATGTGTTACAGTAGATAATAAAGAATGTGTAATGGTGATAATTTTTATTCATTATTCATAGAATTGCCAAATTTGAATATACTGGAAAGAGAGGAGGTGGTTGATGGGGAAGAAGTAACTACATCTGAGGATTGGAAGGAGGGGAGGAGAGTAGTAAAACTTGGAGTGTTAGCTGAGGGCTTGCGGGGATGTTGTAAATGTGGCTTACCATTACAACTTTCACACACTATTTCTGTGTTGACATATGGTTCAGCTTCTTTGTTAAAGGTATGAACTCACCAATTTTGCACAGTTTGTATAAAAACAACCTTGAAAGGTTTTTCCTTGAATTTTACTCCATATAAAACAGGCAGTATTCCATATATCCATATTTTTAGTTTTGAAAGATGTTACATTTTTTTTCTTTGAAATAATTTGAAGTAATGCATATTTAAATTTTTTTTCCCAAGCATTTGATTTCATTAATGGTGAATGAATTTAGAACAGTGACCTGTAATTAGGAATTCATTGATTTTACATAAACATTTCAGGTCTGTTGCAGCAATACAAAGTGTAATCATATTAACCATGCAAAAACAGGGAAAAAACATGGAAGAGTGTGGGATGTAAATACAAAGCTATCAGCAGGTAAGAAGTTTAACCTACACATCCCCTACATCAGTTACATGTATATTTATTATTGTCAAGTCACAAGAGCCTGATTGAGTTTTACCTGTCTATTCCAATATACTGGTAAGCAAGTTTGTTGTCCCCCTCAACAGCAACTTGGACGCACCTTGAGAAATTGTTGCTGTCGTGGGGGACAATAAACTTGCTTTTGTCCTCATAGCCAGTAAATAGGTATATGTATCTATAAATTGATATAATCAGTGGCAGACTTAATGGGGGGCACACCCGGCACGAACCCCTCCTGAAATTGTCAAAGTTAGCATAAAACATAGCTTTGTCAAGGAAATGTTTCTGATGTCTAATCGGTAGACCTCATTTTTACCCTACAAAACTTCTAGAATCCAAGAGCTTCTTTGTAGATCAATTCCAGTTTTGTTGCCATTACCCCTAGGGGTTTAGTTTGTTAAAAGTATGGGTTCTATTTTTAATTTCTGGTAATAAAGAGAGAAAATAAATGAGACTAAGGTGAGTGTTGTATTTCACAAGCTTCTTGTTTAAAGTGATTAGATTGATTTCTTTTTTACATTTATGAATTTGTATTTACAGCAATTGTACATGTTGGTATTGGTGCAACGCAAGTCAACAGTCTCCTTTCTGAGCTGAATATACCACCTGTAAGCCATGCCATGCTGGACAAAAGACAGAAAGAGATAGGTAGAGCTGTTGAAGATATTGCTGCAGAGTCTATGTCTGATGCTTTGCAGAAGGAACTGGAAATGATGAATGAGTGTGTAAACAATATAAATTCAGTTTAAATCTCACTATTTAGCTCAAATGAGCCAAAGGAGCAATGGAGCTTTTCTGATCAGATCAATGGGTGTCCAGCATACATGTGTAGTGGTCATATGGTATAACCTGTGTTGGTTAAGTCACAATTACTAACATGTATGTCACAAACATAACAACCCATTTAATTTTACATATAAGATACATGTATGTACTAATTGCATGCATTCTTGAATGAAAAATTGTCTTATTAAGTTAAGTTATTTTCTTTACTTATTGATGGAGAATTAAATTATAAGGAGTTAACTTCATAGTTATCCAAGTTATAATAGTGTAACCTGCTTTGAAATGAAAGCCTTGCTGTATAGAAAGCCAAAACTGGCACAACCCAGGATATACAGTATAACTTGGGTAGCTATTAAATTCATTCCTAGAATGAATTAAAAAAGGAAAAATTAAAAAATTTTAATTAGATTGGACAGAGACAGTGACTTCCTAGAGTATTGTGGCCCAAGCCTTAAGAGCCTTGTGTTTTAGTTTAGATCCCCAAATGAAAATCATAGGGAATACCTAATAATAATTGATAGTGATCAAGTTAATAGAATCTGATATACTGATAAATATAAGGTTTAATCATGTACAGTATAATTTGTATTGATAAATATGCAGAATGTTATGCACATTAGGGGGTGTTCTGAAGAAGACAGGTTCACAGTTAATAACTGATGTCTGTTATTTATCTATTTTTCAGAGAGATGAACGAAAATGGACTAGTTGTTGCTGTAGATGCTGGATGGCAAAAACGGGGTAGCGGAAAGACATATGATAGTTTATCAGGTAAAAATACTGTAAAAGCACAAATATTCGGGGGGAAAATTCAACAAAATTAAATCCCACACGAAATTTTATATGACTATTTATTGAATAGGGCTTTAAAAAAAATATGTTTGTTTCCTGTAACATTAAAAAAAAAAATTAAGGGTCGGTAGATCTGGATTCTTTTTTTTCTTATGAATTGTCAAACATCCCTGGATTCAATATACCAGGTGTCATATCTACAGTGGACACCCAACATGGCATCCAAAATGGCTACTTAGCGGCAGAAAACGATCTTCAGAAAGTTGTAGGGGGAAATTGTTGTTAAGACCGCGGAACATTAACTGGCAAAATTGGAAATATACAGCTTACGTCATTTCTATCTGTTACAATCAAAACAAAAGCTGTATATTCCCAATTTTGCCAGTTAATGTTCCGCGGTCTTATAATAATGATAACTCTTTATAACTAATCAAACTTAGATGTAAACTAAGTTGACATATTTTATGTCTCAAGTTAAGCTACAATTAATTTTCTTTTTTTTAATAAATGGAATCAGCTGATTGATCAAACGAAGTTTTGCCATTTGTCAATAAAAAAATTCACCCGGGGGTAATTTGAATGGGTCGGTCGGGTTACAGGAAACAAACATATTTTTTTTAGACCTAGGATTAGTTTTAAAACAACGACGAGATTATTTTTGATGTCAAAACAAAAAAAAAATTATGCCCACGAAAATTTATGCTTCTACAGTAGACAAATTTTAGGAAAATAAAAAAAATATATTGATGATTAGAGTGATTACTTTCCACTTGTGCCCAACATAAACTATGCATTAAGTTTTGCTTAGGACTTGATTCCATTAAATATGTATGCAAACAGATGCAATAAATTTAGAAAGACACATATCTCAAAGTTCAACTGTCCATATAAATTGTAAAATATTCTTCTAAAGAACAGCCATGAATAGTTATGTTGCTCATGCAGGTAAAGCATATTCAGTTTTGTTCGAAATATGGACCCAAGGTGGGATAATGGAGCCAAAAAAGGATATGATGTTTACACGGGAATATATATAGGAGAAAAATCATTAAGACTCATAATGAGTCAAATCAAAATATTAAAATATTAGGTGATTTTACACAGTTTGCGTATTCGCTAATCGCTCTATGGCACGCAACCAATTTTTAACGACACTTATTAGAAACATTATTTACCAAAGCATTGTCAATACTTAGAACACTTAACCTCAAAGAAGTAGGAATTTGGTCCCTATTGCATCCTGCAAACATGTTTTAAAGCAACTGTTTACTTTTTTAAAGTTGAACGATTTCCATTATCTATACAGCACCCCTCATGAAAAATAAATATTTGACCTAATTATGCTATAGTGCACTGGACGCACAGGTTCATTGCTGACTAAAGGGGTTAAAGGTTATTACCAAATGCATACATGTAACATCAGTGATCGAGTTTGATTTTCCTTGCCAAAGTATTAAGACATACATTTTATTAAGTTAAGAAATGCATGAAAAATGCTTTAATAAAAACAACGAATACATCTATAAGTTATACAGTTTTTCTAATTTGTAATTTTTCAGGTCATTGTTCCATGGTTGGTCCTCTCTCCGACAAAGTATTGTCATACTCTCTGAGGTCTAAGAATTGCAGAGTATGCAGTGTAGCTGAATCAACCAACAAGAATCCAGCAGCCCATGAGTGCTCAAAGAATTGGGAGGGTAGTTCAAAGGCCATGGATGCAGATATGGTTATTGAGATGGTCCAAGATCTACAGAAAAGTAAAGGAATAACCATTGATGGAATCATTGGAGATGAGGACTCTACCACTATTGCAAGACTGAAAGCTAATGTCAATGCTGATATTAAGAAGTTGTCTGATAAAAATCATCTAAAGAAACTGTTTACAAACTCTTTGTTTACCTTGAAGAAAAAACATTCAACTCTAACTTTGTCTGTGATAAAGTACATTCAGAAATGCTTCAGTTACTCCATAGCACAGGGAAAAGGAAATGCTTCTCAAATCAAAGAAGACCTTTCATCAATTCCATAACACATATTTGGAGATCACCAACACTGCTCCTCAAGGTGGTGCAACTTCATTAACAACCCTAACCTGAAGTACAAGTCACTTCCACATGGAAAACCCCTGAAAGATAGGTTCCTTCAGGATGATCTGAAAGAAGTCTTCAGTTCATATGCAAGTCATTCTGATCGTCTTTCATGCTTAGGAAGCACACAGTCGAATGAGAGTTTTCACAGAATGGTGTCTGCAAAAGCCCCAAAGACCCATCATTACAGCTCTTCTTCAAGCCTCAGATATAGAGTTGCTGCATGTGTAGCCCAGAAAAATGTTGGACACAAATATCTTGTAAAGGTTTGTAATTTTTTATTTTTTCATGCTTATTGTGTCATATCTGAGTTGAACCACTCAAGTTATCTCTTACATTTGAAAATTCTGCAAATTTTAATCAAAAGCAAATTGTATTGTATATGTATGTACATTGTAGTTGTACATAATAGATTCTTTTATCCTTACTAAAGGTTAACAAGAAATTGGGCCTCTCTCCTGGCTACTATACTCGACGACAGTGCATTCTGAGGGATTTACAAAGAAAGCGACAGAAGGCCATTTCAGTGACACAGAAATTAAAAAGGAGAAGGAGAGCATTGAAAGCCAGGAAGTACGTACTAGTATACTTTGATTGTCATTTGTCAGGTGTAAAAAACCTTTTGACAACCTAAAAAATGAAAATAAACCAAGAACAAGTGAATGATGATAAGTATGAATTTAAGTGGGAATTAATATCTTGCATGTTACTAAGATTTGTTTTCTGAATCACCAAAGATTTACGGTATGCTTGTATAAATAGCATGGTTTGATAAATATTTTTTTTCAAAGAAGGGAGGGCATATTGCTTTGCTGCAATCTTAAAATAAAAATTTTACCTACCTACATACCCAGTTTTTTAGCTCACCTTAGCGGAAAGCTCAAGTGAGCTTTACTGATAAAAATGTATCTGTTGTCATTAACTTTTCACATTTTCATCTTCCTCTCAAGAACAACTAGACCAATTTCAACCAAACTTGCTACAAAGTTAGTATCCACTGGGCCAGGTAAGATGAAACTCATATGGAATCATCTTCAGGTAGTGTAGATTCAAGTTTGTTCAAATCTTGACCCTGGGGGATAGAGTGGGACCACATAGCCAATCAAAGTTTTACACAGGAATATAAAGAGAATTTGAAATCTTTAAAAATCTTCTTCTCAAGGACTGCAAAGCCATGATAAGTGATATTGATATGAAGTCATCCTCAGGTAGTGTAGATTCTAGATTGTTTAAATCATGACTCCCAGGGATAGGGCGGGGCCACAATTGCATTTTACAGTACAATATATTTTTAAAAAAATTCTCAAGAATAGCAAAGCTATGATTGGTGATATTAATATGGAAGCATCCTCAGGTAAAGTAGAATTAATTTTTTTTTCAAATCATGCATGGTGGATCAAAGTTTTACATAGGAAAATAAAGGGAAAAATCCCCCCCCCCCCAAAAAAAATAGAAAAGCTATGTTAAGACTTATGGAAATGAAAATTGAAGATTTAAATTTGTTTAAATCCTGATCCTATGTGGTAGGGAGGGAAACGGTGGGGAATCAAATTCAAATTATTACTAAGTAATATATACAAACAAAATGTTAAAAAAGTTATATGCTGTATTGATATGTAGGCATTCTTAAGTAGTGATAAAATTTAAGCCCCCCCCCCCTTCAGTAAATTACATGTACCATAACTTTTCTATTCTGGTCTACTTTGTGCTCTTTCCTTGCCGATGTGCTCAGAATTTTCATTTATTTACAACTCCAAATTCATTAGCTGTACATTAGGTGATTGTTTATTTTGCTAGGCCTTTAGTAAGACCTCAGTTTAGAATCATTTGTTTTACAGAATACATCTTCTTTACAGAATTCAAAGTATTTCTACAAAAGAAACAAGGGAAGGCATCAGTTATTTAACAGGATGTGATCTCCAGCAGGCCTCTGACATCCTTGAAATTCCAGCTCCAAAAACAATTCCAAAGTATGATCATCTGCCTTCAAGTCAGCTGTTAAATGCTGAAGAAATCTATTTTGATTTGGAAACTACTGGACTCGGTAAGAACCTAGATTTAAATGTTAAGTCAATGCTGATGGTTATGGACCTCTTCCGGTATTTTTTGTATGCATTTTGAAATAATAATACTAGAGTTATCATAGAAAACAAATAGAAATGGAGACTCTTGCATAATTCCAGTATTGGTACAAGTAGTTGAGCATGTTTTATATCTTTCAAAACTTTACCCTTCCTTCTGAGGACACTGATTAAAAAGAAATTGCATATTCTGAAAGAATTCAAGCATCTTTGAAGGAGTTAAGTCTTGGGGAAGAGGGTTACTATTATTATAATGTTTCAAAATTTTTTAAATCATGCATACTGTAAACGGATTACATTTGGCTGTGTATTCTAATAGCGGATTTGGCGAAACGCTGCAACTGCTAAATCAATTACAACGCTAAATGTCTTGCACATATACACATAAAGCAGAAAATGAAGAAATGCACTAAATCAAATCTACGCTTCCTTATTCAAAAGTCAATTTCTTCCAAATATCATACATGCTAAATATAATACATTTACAATATATCAATTTTTGTATGTATTTTTTTCTAATGCTTTTAATTTTAAAAACTTGAATTTACTTAAGGACTGAATTAAATAGCAATCCAAATTATACTATATTACCTGGGTTGGGGCAGTTTACGCTTTCTAAACCTCAAAGCGGTTTATAAAAAAGGGTATACTGCTCCAACCCAGGTTGTAGCAGTATAATTTGGGTTGCCATTTAATTCACTCCTTATGATTTAATTTTCAATCATCAAGAATATAAAACAAGACAGATTTTCTCTTTATAATGCCTTCAAATAGTTCATATTTTAAACGTAACGTCAAGCGGATTGATACAATTTGATGTAAGTCATTGTGATGTAAGCAAACCAGATTATACAATTTAGATTAATTTTTTATCCAATCAAATGATGCGTTACAATCAAAATTAAATTATTTGGTTTTTTTAGCAAGGGATTCTCATATTGTGCAGTTGTCTGCAGTTAGAAATGATGAGGTTTTCAACAAATACATCATTCCAGAAAAACAAATGTCCTCAAAAGCTACAGAAATTACTGGAATAAAAGTAGTCAACAATAAAATGTACCACAGTGATGAGGAAGTTGAGACAGTCAGCATTAAGGATGCACTGATCCAGTTTATCGACTTCATAAAGAAATCGGAGTCAGATGCTGTTCTAGTTGGACACAACTCCAAAGTGTTTGACCTTCCTGTGCTGTTCAACATTTTGAGTAAATTAAACATTTTGGAGGCATTCTCATCTGCAGTCATTGGTTTCATTGATACCTTACCTCTTTTCAAAATTTCGCATCCAAACCTTTCATCATACTCACAGTTACACCTCTTCGAAGAAATTCTACGAGACAAATGCAGTGCGCATGACTCATTACAGGATGTCTTAGCCTTGAAGAGATAGTTGGACCATACAGGACCTTCCCCTGAAGTCAAACTTGCTGCATCTTTCACTTCAAACTCTGCCTTTGCCATATTCCATTACAAGAACACAACAAAAAGTCTAATGAGCACACTAAAGCCTTCATTGGATCAAAAGGTGATTTCGAATGGAATGGGAAATAAGATTGCCAGCAGTGGACTCTCCTTATCACACTTACAACTGGCTTATCGCAGAAATGGTAGGGAGGGAGTACAGGATGTGCTGACAGAGATAACAGATAACAGTGTGCGTGTGACAAAATCTAGAAAAATCATTGATTCTGTTGCAGATTTTCTCAGATCTGAGCAGTAACGCAGTTGTATGATGTTCTTTGTATGTAACTATATTATTGTTTGTTTGGTTGTTTGTTTGTTTGTTTGTTTGTTTGATTTCTGTGAGCCAGTGCTCACTAGTAATACCCTCAATCTGATGTGAATATGGACAGACAGGAATAAACAAAGTTAATTGACAATGGATTCGTACAAAAATGAATCCAACCATATTACATGACAAAAATTTATTATTTGTGGTACAAACAGATGCACAGATACACAGGAAGTTGACATCAGATTCGTCTAAAACCAATTCCAACTGTGATGAGTAGTTGTGGAGAAAACTGTGACAAAAATTTACTATTTGTGGTACAGACAGATGCAGAGATAATCAGGGAGTTGACATCAGATTCGTCTAAAACGAATTCCAACATACGGCATGTCTAAAGAAAGAGTGTGCTAAAACTTAAAGCATCTGTGATGAGCAATTGAGCATGATGAGTGATTGCTGAGAAAAATTGGCCAAAAATTTGTTACTGACAGAAAGACACACAAGTGTAGAAAGAAAAACAGTATAAACCCTGTGCTTCAGAGCTGGGGTATAATTATGCCATGTACTATTGTTTTTTTTCAATGTTTATTGTTATAGGTAGTTTGTAGTTGAACAAAAAAATTTCTTTCCATTCAAAATAAATCCTTATTTAGAAATTGACAACAATTTATTTTCATTACCCATATTATGAGCATACCTGAAAAATTAAAAGGTGTTCTTTGATATTTATTGAAGAAGACTATGTGCATATTAAATTGAAACATGCACAAATGAATATGAATGGACATTCTGTAAATGTTTAATATTGTGTATGACCTATACTTGGCAGTAATCTATTTTCAACAATCGGGCTAGGTTTGATTTCTAGCAAAATTTTTGTTGTGTACTTATAAATACGCAGGTCATAAAGTTAGCGATGTTCTTGATATAGCAACAGCAGTTTTCTGTCAAAGGCACAAAAAATCTAATGTTAACAGTATATAAAAATGTTGTATGTTACTTGTAAAGGTAACAATTTGATAGATCTCTATCACAAGAAACATGGATCTGAATAAACTTCAATAAAGTTAAATAGTTGATAATTTTTCATCTTGAATAAAGAACATTTTGTTTGATACAATAAAATCAAGAGAAATTTACATTGCATGACGCAAATTAAACTAGCTGTTATTGGTACAACTAGTAGTTCAAAACATTCATTTAGTCTTTTTTTTTATTCCCTTCATTTTCAATAACTGGAAATTTGCTGTGAAACGTTTATAGTGAAATGATTACTATGTGGTGGTTTTTAGCTCACCTGAAACGGAAGCCCGAGTGAGCTTTTCTGATCAAAGATTGTCTGGCAATCGGTCTTTTGTCTGGGGTGTGTAAAGTTTGATATATTTTATTTCTTTGAAAGACCAACTGGCCCAATTTCAATTAAGGGGATTTAACTTTGTTCATAGGAAGTGTCTCGCCCTTTTGAAGTGGGGGGTAATTAAGACTTTTTTTGGCATTATTCAAAAATCTTCTGAAGAACCACTGAAGAAAAGATGACATTTACGTGAAATTTAGCTTCATTGCATACCCTATATTCAATACTTCTTGGGGGAAGGATGGGCCACAAGTGGAGCAAAGTATGCATAGAAAAATATTTGAAATGTCTGTAAAATTCTCTCAACTCAGAACAAGCAAAGCCATGATTAGTCAAACTATTAAAGAATTATCCTCAGGTAATGTGAGTGGGCATGAAAATAGATATTAACCACCCCCCCCAACCATCCCCTCTCTCCCCTAAGTCTTAAATAGTCCCCCCAAAAATGAAATGTCCCTTTTCTTTTAAAGAAAAAGATTGAGTTTCAATACACTATTCATTTAGGCAAATAGAAAATCCCCCAAAATCATGGAAGAGGCAAACAGAATCAATCCGAATTTCCTCTGGTCAAAATTTGAGAAAAATGGGCCAGAGGAAATTCATGTTAAAATATCTTTAATTCATTTTTAAGCACTTTATCTTAGTAACAAATGTATAGAAAAAAAATACTTTTTAATTATTTCTGATTTATTTTCCAAGCTCATTTTATAAGCCCTGTGAAAGGAAAAAAAGGTATTTTTTAGTATGAGGGTGTGTCCTTTTTGATAAAAATTAAATTTTATCTTCTATCAATTATCATTTTTATCTTATCAATATTTATATTCCCTATGACTACTTTTAAAAGATAGCAAAAGGTTGGAATGATTTGAAAACATTTCATTGTTTAAAATAAATATTAAATATGTTGAACACAAATTTGGTCTTTTTCTTTACTAAAATGAGAGAATTACCTCCCTTTGTCAGGAACACCTATAGCTTGAAAATTAAATCATATTCATATGCATTTTTCTGGCTTAAAATAATTTATTATGTTTATTCTTACAATTAAAAAAGAAAAAAATCATTTTCAATTATTTTTAATGTCAGAAGCCAAACACCTTAAAATTATGAACTTTACAATTTCTTTTAGAAATAATTTCATATCAATTATATACCGTAACATGTTGTAAATGAAGGCCATATTTTTTCATATTCGTGGTTCATACATTATTTACCAAATGAAATAGTGGAGTGGTATACAACAATCTACGTGAAAACCAAATTAAACAAATTAGATGTATCGTCTTTTACAAAAACAATAATAAAAACAATAATAAAAGGATAACAGTTGGTATATACATATTCCATCTTTTTTTTATGTGCATGCTGATAATTCTTCGATTAGTTTCAAAAAGTATGGCAATAAAAATATATAGAGGGTTCAACAAACAAAAGCACATTTAAACTCAAATGGGTTCATCATAAAGATGTAGCTATGTTAAATTAACAATTATAAAGCACAGCATGTATTTGTCTATACAATGTGCATATTCTTTTGTTGTTGAATAAAATATTGGTTGGTTGAAATTTTTTGTTCAAAAAATAGTTTCAACTAAAATTGAAATAAACTCCAATTGCAATGAAAAAAATATATGAACACAAAAGTAGAAAATTGGTAGGAAACTAGCAAACTAGCATACACTGTGGTAGACGTTCATAGAACATATATATCAGATTCTGTTACATGCGTACTAGATTACATGTACTTACAGTTCACGTAAATTGTGTAAGCTGGCAAAGACATTGTCCGGTATCGTGGTAATTCTGTTGTCGGAAAGAAATCTACGAAAAGAGCAACAGAAATTAAGTATAAATAGTCTTTTTACAACATTCGACCTGATCTTCATCAAAATATATATTTAAAATTGAGATGAATAGAATCCTTAATTTTTCAGAGCAGTGCAGGCATGGGTTGGGATATTTAGATGCGCAATATCGATTACCGAGGTCACTTGTATTGGTTTGTAATGTAATTTAACATATAAAGGAGCTTCATTTTTGATGTAATTAATAAAATGTTAGAAATATACAGTATAACTACTATTTTTCTGCATTGTAGCTCATTATACCTGATACTTTGTTTTGCATACAATAAAATGTCGCTCATATGAACATATAATAACATATACAAGTATATGCTGTAATATATGCAAAGCTAAACTCCAAGAATTCGACCCACAAAACGTCTTATTTGGCCTAGTAAATTTTAAATTATGAAGAAGACATTAGAAAATATGTTATAGGTTATTATCAACCTAGAACATCGATAGATTTCACATGTGCAACAATTTCGTCAAAACCAGATATTACTGCGAGAAATCAACAGAAAACAGAAGAGCAAAATGAGGCATTGTTTTTAAAACTGAATTATTTTCATTCAGCCGTTCTATTATCACAGAACGTAAATACTTATGGAAATAGCATAGCACAACCTAACAATAACATAGCAACAATTTCATCAAAACCAGATATTACGCAGCACTTTAAAGGGGCATTGTTTTTAAAAATGTATTCTTTTCATTCAGTCGTTCTATTATCACAGAACGTAAATACTTATGGAAATAGCATAGCACAACCTACTCTGTACTGTAAAGAGTTTAGTCCCATCGATGGACAGTCACGTGGTGAATGCATAGTAGGTGGACAGAATGTAGGTCAATAAAAAATTTCAATATCGGAAGGGCATACCCTAGTTAAAATTAAAAATTCATGCTATTACTTGTTTCTAAATATTTTGTACTTCCTGGAAATTACTGCTGCTTTGAATAGAATCTGTGTTTTAATAGTTAAAATTTCACGTAAAGAGGCCAATGTCGAAATATGTTTGAATTTTACCAAATATTTTGTGCACTTACAAAGTCATGCTCTTGATTTAAAGAAAGCAGGCGAACTTTTCAAGTTAAGGAACATATCCTCAATGTATACTCAAAAATGGTCTTGATTTATTTAGTGTATGCCCTTGCAAAAGAACATTTTAATGAGGCACCTCGATGTAAAAAATACCTAACCTGAACATAAAACACGACGGAATTATCTAAATACATTCTTTCGATAGTGAATGAATAATCACACTTAACAAATGATACACATTGGTATTATTAGCCTACTTTAAACCTGTAAATAATATTCTGCTTTATAATAGAACGCATTTTTCATTGTTAAAAACTCCCAAATCTGCCTCTCACAGCACAAAAAATCCGTCATTTTTACCAAAATGACGTCATGATTGAAAAGTTCATCGAGATCAGTGATTTGTTTAAAACCAGCTGTATGGGATTTAACTAGCTATACAGTGCAGGGAAATAATTTTGTTACAGCATCAAAGCTGATTTTGGTGCTTCATATGCTTGCTGATTTTGATGCTTCCTTTGCTTGCTGATTTTGATGCTAGTTATCCTTATCTTGATCCTGGTTTGATCCTTATCCTGATGCTGGTTTTAACTAGGTCAATGCTAGTAATGCTACCGGAAGTAGGATTATCCTGCCGGAAGTGGATAATTCAAAAAACAGCATCGCTATTTTAAGCCATTAAAAATAATTTTGGGGGTAATTTTTATATCTAATTTGTATTAAATGACTATCATTTATCTGTTTT